GGGAGGGGGAGGTGGTGAGAGGCAAGTAAGAAATCAAAAGAAGCAGAAAAAAAAAGCAACACTAGCAGCCAACAAATGCCACTCAGAGAGCTAGCTAGTGCGGGCTGGTGTTTCTGGACAAGAGACTGTGTCCATGGGAAGCAGAGGGGGCCGAGTGTGGGTGAAGAAGGGTAGAGAGTGGGAAAGCTTATATCACAAATTACTGGAGCTCTGAAGCCCCTCAGGAAGAAGCAAAAATGGTGCATGGAGCGAGGTACTCGAACAAAAGGAGGGGGAGGTAGGGAGAGGCAAGGAAGAAATAAAAAGAAGTGGAAAGAAAGCAACACCAGCAGCCAACAAATGGCACTTGGAGAGCCACCCGTTCGGGTGTGTGAAATCCAAGCAGCTGCTGTTTCCCTGTCAAGAGACTGTGGCCGCGGGAAGCAGAGGAGGCCAAGTCGGGGTGAAGAAGGGTGGGGGGGTTGGGAAAGCGTATATCGCAAATTACCGGTTGTTTTGTCTCCTGCTGGAAGCTCTGTGAGGCTGCTTTCTCATATCCCCTGTTTGCTGAGTCCAAGATGGCGGATCCGCGCTGCGTTAGCTGGTATGGGACCTCTGCATGAATCTCGCCTTGCTCTCCGTTCTCTGTCAGTTTTCTCACTCCATTTGGTGCTTGGCTGAGTTCTTTATCTCTTCATTTGATGTTTTAGGGTTTCAGGATTGTTGTATTCTCTGTTTGGCTTAGTTTTTTGGATCTTTGCTGTGGAGGGACGGCGTGGTGCTTCTGCCTAGAGCACCATTTTGCTGGAACTCCAATGGTCCTTTTCTTGAGGACAACAAGTGTAGCTCTTTTGGCCTGCTTCCTGCCTGTAGAATTCCAAGAAGCCAATAGCTTTCTTTCCTTTCATTCTTTCTCTGTCCCCTTCAGTCTAAGCTGATGGGTTTTCTGTTGTGGTAGTTGGTTAGATCCATCAGTCACAAGCTTAATCTCTTTAACAAAAGATTGTGTAGCCATGTCCTTGGTGAATATTCTAGGACACATGTCCTTAGTTTGCACAACAAAATTTTCCAAATCTTTAAGTTTTGTTTTCATTTTGCAGTTCATTTCTAAGTCCATCTGTTTCTCTAGCATTTCACTATAAGCAGCAAGGAGAAACCACGTGGCCCCTTTAAGATCTTGCTTAGAAATCTCAGCAGTCAGATATCTAAGTTCATCACTTACAAGTTCTACCTTCTACCAAACATTTGAACATAATTCAGACAAGTTCTTTGCCACTGCATAGAAAAGTATCACCCTTTCTCCATTATTCAATCACATGTTCATTTTCTTACAAAGCTTCACCAGAAGCACATTTAATGTCTACTTTTCTAGCAACACTCTGTTTCTGGTGCCATATGTGTTCTCTAAGATGATATTTTCTCTATGGCTCTCTTCACTTCCTTCTGAGCCCTCACCAGGATTGCCTTGATGTGCATACTTCTACCATCAGTCTCTTCAAGGCAATCTAGGCTTTTACTATTAGGCACCTTAAAACTCTTCCAGCCCCTACCCATTACTCACTCCCAAAACCACTTCCACATTTTAGGTATCTGTTAGAGCAGCACCCCACTCTTCCAGTACCAAGTTCCATCTTAGTTATCTAGTGCTGCTATAACAGAAATACCACAAGCAAGTGGCTTTAACAAACAAATTTATTTCTCACAGTTTAGGAGGATAGAATCCTGAATTCAGAGTGCTGGCTATAGGAAAAGGCTTTCTCTGTCTGTTAGCTCTGGAGGAAGGTGCTTGTCTCTTTGGTTCCTTGGAGATTTCCATGTGTCTTGGCATCTTTCTTACCCCGTTTCTCCTAGCTTCCTAGTTTTATCTCTTTATATGTCAAAAGAGATTAACTCAAGATACACCGTACACTAACATAACAAACACAACCCATTCCCAAAGGTGATTATAACCACAGGCATAGAGTTTAGGATTTACAACACATATTTTTGGGGAACACAATTGAATCCATAACAAGTAGATACTAGTAAATTTTAATTTATTAAAAACTTAGATATTTATTTTAAAATATTTTACCTTTTTAAAAATAACTTTCTTTGAATTCTAGCTCTAACACTTGCTAGCTGTGTGATCTTTGACAAACCTCTTCATTTTCAACATTCTCCAAGCTTCGGTGTATTCTTTTGTAGAAGTGAGCAATAAAAAAGAATGAGCTACTGGTACACACAACAACATAGATGAATCCAAAAACATTGTACTGAGTAGAGAAACCTTACAAGAAAGAGTACTTATTGCATGATTCCATGTATAAGCAGTTATAGAACAGGCATATAATATATATGGTGGAAAAATCAGAAAAGTAGTTGCCTCTGAGGTGAGTGGAGTGGAGGTGGGGACTGAGTAGAACAGAGCATGTAGGAACTTTCTCAGATGATGGTAATGTAAAAGTTTAAGGTATACAGGTATATGCATTGTTCAAAACTCAGAATGTGTACTTAAGATTTGTGCATTTCTTTGTAAAGTTCACATTGAAAGAATGTGAGCAAATACTGAACTCTAGTTAATGATATTGTGGTGGAGTGAATTGCTTTTATATGACTTTTCTAACCATGGTCTTCTAACTTTCCCAAAATAATTGATTGGACAACAATCTTGCAAGGAATTGTCAGTGTACTATGCAAATTGAGTGACAGGTAGTCCACCAAGGGGATTGGTCAGTTCATGTCCTAGCGGGAGAGCCATGTCTTGAAATCGATAAGGAGTAGGCTTACATAAGGACCAGTCACACAGAGGTTGGGGGGACCTTACTATCATCAAGAGGAGTCTGGAGCAGAGCGTGACCTTTGGACCAAGGACCTGGGATCCTTGTGCTGAGAACCTTGCAGATCCAGAAGATAGAGCTGTAACACTGAATTTGGTGAGAGACAGCAGCAGTGAGCTTGTCAGCCCATGGAGTGAGAGGGGAGTGCCTTTGGGTAGGAGGCTTGTCAGAGGAGCTAGAAGAGTTGTAACGTTTGCCTGTGCGGGAGTTGCCTCGAAGGATCCTTTGGAGGAGACTTCCTACAGCAGGAAGGAGTCAGATGTCTCTGGGCAGGAGGCTTGCCAGTGGAGCTAAAAGAGCTGTAACACTTGCTTGTGTGGAACAAGAGAGGCCTGAGTGTGCCCCATGTAGGGCCTGCATGCCTCCCTATCCTGGGTAGCACTGGGCTGTGTAGCATGGCAGCAAGAGAGCCCTGTAGGCCTGGTTAGCATAGCAGGAGCCAGCAGCATAGGCCAGCCAGTGGCTGAGCAGAAGCCACTGGAGCCATGCAGGCCTCCCAAGCAGTGCAGTGGTAGCCAGAAGCAGCAGTAATATGAACACAGCATCTGACCCGAACCATGGTGTGCCTGCCCAGCAACATAAAAATGGACACGGGTAATTTGGGAAAGGGTAAGCGTTTCTCCTTTGAAAATCTGTTACTGTTTACTGTTTGCTTTCTATAAATAACAATAATGGCTTTCACTTTGCCAACACTGTATAAGTGTCTCATGTGTCCAGCTCAATCACAGATGAAATTAACACTTACGGAATGGTTAATGCCAGTGAGTGTATGGTCTCTCAATTCTAGCAGTCTTATGACTGCCTGTAAGTTTGAGAAACAGTCTGCCTGCATGTGTAATGCAGATAGACAGGCAATGCATACAGACATGTTTGCTTAAATATTTAGGCGGGCATGAATAGATATCTCAAATTTACCTAGAAAAGTGTCAGAAAAAAAAAAAAGATGGACGGTTGGGTAAATATGTGATTTAAAAAGTACAGTAAAATGTTAATGGTAGAATCTAGGTGGAGCATATGTTTGAAATTTTTCAAATTAGAAAATTATTGAAAATCAAGCAGAAGTCATATTATGTCTCTAAACTATAAGTCACCTAAATGTCCAAGGACAGTAGAATGGGTATATACTTTGTGGCATATTCATACAATAAAATACTAGACAGAGAAAGAATTATCTGCTACACGTCAAAATATGGACAAATCTCACAAGCAAAGTGTTAAACAAAAGAAGCTGGACATATGCTATACGGTTCCATTTATGTAATATAACACAAGGTAAGACTGGTCTATGATATTAGAAGTCAAGATAGTGTATAACATTGGGGGTGGGGGTAGATAGTGATTGGAAGGGGGCTTCTGGGGTGCAGGTATGTTCTGTTTCTTGTTCTGGGTGCCCGTTTCCCAGAAGTGTTCAGTTTATGAGAATCCACTGATCTGTGCATTTATGATATTGCATGTTTCTGTTAATATGCTATATTTTAATAAAAAGTTCCAAAATTGAGATGAAAATAGCTCCTACCTCACAGTATTATTTTGTAGTTTAAATTAAAATCCATTAGAATGTAAAGTCCAAGAGGGAAGGAATTTTAATCTCTTCCTTCACTGCTGTATACCAAGACTAGACATGGCCTGGCACACGGTGGACACTCAGAACATTTTATATAAATAAATGGTAAAGTAGCACAGTATTTATCTCATAGCCTGCCACAGAGTACAGACTCTAAATGTCAGACGTTACTGATATTAATAATATTATGCTATCATTGCTTGAGATGATTAAAATAGTTTATCTCTTTAAGCAGCGCAGCCTAGACCACACCATATTTTAACATCAGGTATCTGTTATCTCATGTTCCTAAGTTCATCTCTTCACTTGATCAATGGTGGTAGAGAAATCAATGGCCACAAGTGAACTTTACTCTATGGGCTTTCAGTTGGGAATTAAAACTTAGAATTTACTGTTTTTGATGCAGTCTGAGTTAATTATTTATGTTGCTACTATGTTTGTCCTGATTGGTTATCATGTTCTTGTTGGACTCTGGCATGAAAAGTAATGTCAGTTAATATAGTTGTGTTATTTTAGCATTATTTGAAAATATTTTAAATGCAATTTAAGGCAAATTACAAAGGGACTTAAACAGATGTTGTAAATAATTAACTTTTTCAAGAGAAGTATTGTGTACTTAATGAGGAGGTCATAGTGCTTTAAATTGTTAAAATCTTTGTCAAGCAAACCACTGAAGATGAAGTCTAAAGACTTGGCTTTTATCGTCATATTAATCATCTCAGGAGAACTCTATGCAGAAGGTAAACTTAATTCTTAAAATTCTTTGCTCCCTAAAAATATAAATGGAAAGTCTAACATTCATACAAATTGAGTTATAATATACTTTTAAAATTTGATATGTTGATTTTATAAAAACAAAATTCTTATAAATATAATTTCTTATAATATTTAAATAGACTTGTTCCTTTGGACAGAAAGAGTAAACTATTCCTATAATAGCATATCTTTGAAAAACAAAAAGCAAAGCCTTTGTGTTTCTAGGTTTTGGGGGATAGGAGACAGGATCTAAATAAATTGAAAGAATTTTCAAGCTAACTACTACTATTTAGAAGTAACATTTTAACCTTAATATTAATTTCATACTAGAATTTATTTATAACACTGACAAAATTTGAATAATTTTAGTTCTTTTCATAAGACGAGCTTAATGTAGAAAATTTGAAAAGCAAATCAAGGATTTTTGACTCTTGACACTTTGATTTTTATCCTAATGACTTACTCATTGGCTGAAGTCATTAAGGAGCAATTAGTAATTGATAATACAGAGACATTTCTGAGGGTGAAAGTGGACTGTATTAATACTTATGCTGGGACAACAAGTGTAAACCAGGACTTTCCAGGCAAACCAAAACCTGTGGACAGCCCAGCTATTAGAAATATTTATATGCAGCTGCCTAGTGCGTGAGATTAGTGTAAGATGAGTGAGAGAGTGAGAGGCGGTTGCTTAGGAACAGTTATCAGTGTTATTAGGCTATAGGATTAAGAAGCCAGGCAGGTTATTAATCACCAGCAAGAATGAATGTACAGAGTAGGAAACCACAGCAATAAGACTTTTCTAATATAAACACCTGAGGGAATTTATTGAAATAAAATATGTGACAAACTATGATCGACTTTTAGTTGAATAGTTTACTACAAAGTTTCTACCAAAAAAAAAAAGTTTGCAATTAAAATTCTGAAAGTGAAATAAGAGGAATTCATCTTATTTGATACATTTAATTCCAAAATAGGAAAATTTTGCATGTATAGTTTCCTTTGATTTTAGTTTTCTGTCTAAATAGGAAAGAACCAGCAGATAAAATTATCTATTGTCTATACCATGAGGACATTACAGTATTCTAGATAATTTTCTAATTATCTTACCTCACACATACACACACAAAGTAAGTTGCTTAAGACAGAGACCATGCTTACTCCCGTCCTTCCCCCAGTCCCCTTGGGCTCCTCAGAGGCTAGAACTGAGTTAATTATGCTTCTCATTTCACTGTACGCAATCATCATTGGCCTATGAGAAGCTTCACTCTTGCTCTATTTGTACACTTTTCTCCTTTATATCTGATCCCCAATCCCTTTCTTCCTCCTCCCCACCAGACTGGGGCCCATTATAATAATGTGTTAAATATATTCTTAAATATGTAACAGCTTGGAAAAATGAGTCTTGTTTTGTGTATGTGTTTTGCAATCACATTAATGCGAGCTTGCTGTAATTTTATCTTCTTGTTTTATTTTGCTCAATACTGTTTAAATACATTCTCCATGTTGCTGAATCTACTTTGTTGCTCTTAACTGCTGCATAGTATTTCATATATTTTACTTATCCACTCTCCGAATGATGGTGCTATTAACCACTAAACCAAACTCATTGCCTACAAGTCGACTCTGAGTCGTAGTGACTCTGTAAGATAGAGTAGAACTGCCCCATATAGTTTCCAAGGCTGTAATCTTTACAGAAGCAGACTTCCACATCTTTCTCCCAAGGAGCAGCTGGTGGGTTTGAAACATCAACCTTTTGGTTTACAGCCAAATTCTGTAACCACTGTGTCACCAGGACTCCTTATGGACCTATTACCAAACAAAAAAAAACCTGTTGCCGTCGAGTCAATTCCAACTCATAGCGACCCTATAGGACAGAGTAGAACTGCCCCATAAGGTTTCCAAGGAGCAGCTGCTGGATTTGAACTGCTGACCTTTTGGTTAGCAGCTGAGCTCTATAACCACTGTGCCATTAGGGCCTCTTAGTTACCTGTAAGTCTCTCTTAACTACAAAGTACTCTGAAGCGAATACTGTTGTACAATCACCTCATCTTCTCTGTGAGCATTTCTTTGACCTACAGTTATTGATAGATTTTGGGTGAATTTGTACTTAATTTCTGTTAGTATTGACAAATTGTTTTCCAGAATAGTTGTCTCAAGTTACAGTTTCTCTGAGAGGGTATGAGTCATTGTCTCCCATCACCCTCACCAACACTTCAAATGATCAAACTTAATTTCTTACTGCTGCTATAAGTGCACTACCGCAAGTGGGTGGCTTTAACAAACAGAAATGTATTTTCTCACAATTTAGGAGGCTAGAAGTCTGAATTTAGAACACCAGCTCCAGAGGAAGGCTTTCTCTCTCTGTCAGCTCTGGGGGAAGGTCCTTGTCTCTTTTCAGCTTCTGTTCCTTTGTTCTTTGGAGATAATCATTGGCATGTATCTTCCCCTCTGTTGATGCTTGCTTCTCTGTGCTTAATCTGCTCTTTCTGTATCTCAAGGGTGATTGGTTTATGACACATTCTACACTGATATGGCCTCATTAACATAACAAAGAAAACCCTATTCTCAAATGGGATTGCATTCACAAGTATAGGGGTTTAGGATTTGCAGCACATATTTTTGGGGGATACAATCCAATCATTAACACTGTCGTTCTAATTTTTATCCTTCTGCTGGTCAAAAATGATAGCTCATTTTTATTTAGTTTTCAATTCTGATTCCTAGTAATTTGTACATCTATTGATACACTTGTTTGATGTTCAGAATTTTGTGATTTCCTTATTTATATCTGTTAACCATTTTTCTTTTGTTTTCTGCCTTTTTTAAGCTTACATGTGGGAACTTTTTGTAGACTGTAAATTTTAACTTCTTGTTGATTTTAGACTTTGCCAATCCCTTCTTTGAAATAGTTATATATGTATTAATTTTGTCTATTGTACCTTCATTGAAAGAAATCCTTAGTTTTGATGTAATAAAAGTCATCAAGTTTTGCCTTACAGTTTCTGCTTTTTTGCTCATCGCTGAATTATACAGTATTAATGGTACCCCCAGGATTGTGCAACATGGAGACCCTAACACTCTAAAATAAAATTTTTTGAGTTTATAGTTCATTGGTACAACCATTTTACTATTTTCCACATTCAATGAGTTATTTATATCAGCTATTGTATTTCCATATTCAGTATTTACATAATTGTTTCTCCTTCATAGTTTTTTTATCCCTGCTCTATATTATCAGTATCTTCCCTTTTGTATTTAAGGATATTCATGTTGCAAATTAGAAATTCTTTATCTATTTTTTTCATTAATTTTCCTCCATCTCATATGATTGTCCAGTTTGTTAACTTTATTTTATTGTGATTGAACTCCTCACATTTCTCATTATTTTTCCTCATGAATTCATGTTGTCCAAGGCATATCAGCTACTTGAAAGGGAAGGTGCACTTCCTGGTGCAGGGGGATGCTAGCACAGAGAATCTTTGAAGTCACTACCTAAGTTTGACCACCTATTTGCTGCCCCTCCCTCATAAGCAACTCTGCTCCTCCAGGAGCCTTCTTTTACCTTCCCTCTGGCATTGCTATTTTTTTTTTTTTTAATTCAATCTGCCACTCTCTGTCTCTTTATTGGTGCATTTAGTACATTTACATTCAGTGTAATTATTGATAGGTATAAGTTTAGTGCTGTCATTTTGATGTCTTTTTTTGTGTGTTATTCACAGTTTCTTTGTTCCACTTAATTTTCTGTGCTGAGTCATTTTTCTTTATGTATTTTCTTTTCATCTTTTTCATTGTTGTTGATTTTGTGTTTGTTGACTCTTTATATTTTTCTAGTTTTTTACTTTGACTTGTAGGATTATTAGTTTCCTTTGTGGTTACCTTAATAATTACCCCTATTTTTCTAAGTTTATACCAGTCTTTTATTTGTTTATATCGCCTTGACTTCCTCTCCATATGAAAAACGTATGTCTACATTTTTTAAGTCCCTCTTTTTTGTTTTAATGTTGTCATCTTTTACATATTGACATCAGTTTCCCTATTTTCAGCGTTTTTAGCTTTGATTTATTTTTGTGACTTCCTTATTTGGGTGGATATCTGGTTGCTCTGTCCTGTGTTCTAGTCTTGGGTTGTTATCTGATGTTATTGATTTTCTAACTGGAGGACTCCCTTTAGTATTTCCTGTAATTTTGGTTTGGTTTTTACAAATTCCCTAAACTTCTGTTTATCTGGAAATACCCTAATTTCACCATCATATTTGAGAGACAGTTTTGCTGGATATATAATTCTTGGCTGGAATTTTTCTCCTTCAAGGCTTTATATATGTCATCCCATTGCCTTCATGCCTGCATGGTTTCTGCTGAGTAGCCAAGCTTAGTGTCATTGACTGTCCTTTGTAGATGACTTTTCGTTTATCCCTAGCTGCTCTTACAATTCTCTCTTTATCTTTGATTTTAACAAGTTTGATTATAATATGTCTTGGTGACTTTGTTTTGGGATCTATCTTATGTGGGGTTTGATGAGCATCTCGGATAGCTGTCTTCTCACCTTTCATGATATCAGGGAAGTTTTCTGCCAACAAATCTTCAACAATTCTCTCTGTATTTTCTGTTATACCCCCCTTCTGATACTCCAATCACTCGTAGTTTATTCCTCTTGATATAGTCCCACATAATTGTTAGGGTTTCTTCATGTTTTTAAATCCTTTTATCTGATTTTTCCTCAAATAAGTTGGTGTCAAGTACTTTATCTTCAGTCTCTCTAATTCTGACTTCCATTGCCTCACTTCTGCTCCTATGACTTTCTATTGAGTTGTCTAATTCTGACATTTTATAGTTAATCTTCTGGATTTCTGATTGCTGTCTCTCTATGGATTCTTGCAGCCTGTTAAATTTGTCATTATGCTCTCTAATCTTTTTAATTCCCTCTGTTGCATGTTCTGTGTTTTGCTTAATTTCCTTCCTAATTTCTTGAAGAGTTCCGTATATTAATCTTTTGTATTCTGCCTCTGGTAATTCCAAGAAATTTTCCTCCTCTGGAAAATTTCTAGATTCTTTATTT